TGTATGGTTTCAGGCCCAATCTCTAGACTATATATTGCTAAAATCACTTTAAAAGTGGGATCCTATAAAAACGCACTCATATCGACACTGACCCATGAAGAGAAAGAGAAGGTAGCAAAATAAGTGTTGTACATGTGTAGGATAAGGAGAGGCCCATGTCATTTTGACTAATTTTCACTCTTTTTTTATGTTTTCCACTTGTCTTTTTGTGTGCAAAATATTGCCGCCATGAAAGATTTCACCTTACATTGGACGGAAGCGCTCTCATCGATTATTACTATTATTTCATCGAATATGCCCACCATGAGATAATTTAAAGATTGGGTTTGGACGTATATCATTGTCTAAATAAACATTTTCTTTTTTTTTTAGTAAGTGACGAGATTATTTTTCCTAAGAAATTCTTGTGACAAGATATTAAAATTCTTCAAATTAAGTTCAAAGTTTGGTAAGTATCGTATAGGGTCAAATCATACCAAATTCTAGGTCAAAATCAAAGGGAATTTCGGTGGTGTTAAATAGTTACTTTATTTTTTCGAAAAAAAAAAAGTATTTCACGTCATAGTCGTGAACAATGTGAACGAATGTAATGTGTATGAGTTACGTGATATCATCAGATCCGAACAACCGTCTCGCATTTGCTTTTGACCAGAAATGAGTAACGAAGTAATTTCATTTAGTTAGGTAAATATTCAAACTCATGCAATTAATATTACTTTATGTTAATGCGAAAATTCAATTAAAATATTACCTGGATTCAGTAAAGAACAAATAAAAGCAAGTAACAACGATTTATATGGTTATTAATGATCAGTTAGAACTAAAGAAGTTCCATAGTCATTTGTCGATGTTAAGTGTTAACATCACTACATGAAAATGAAAATATTACTAATATAAAATTTAAACTTAATGACCTTACTTTTACAGAAAATTCCAACCTAAAATAATTCAATAGTTATTTCAATGTTATAATGATATGTAGGAAATATATTTACGGAGATTCCAACTAAAAGCAGTAACAAAATATTCCATTAGAATATGGTGGTGCAAAATGAACTCGACCCGGTCCAATGTCCTTCGATTGTTCTTGAACTGATGAAATGACCTGCCAAATAGCGCCGGAGGTTGTCCCGGTGTAGAAGTTTCGATGCTCAAGTCAATATTTGAAGGTGAAGATGCGTATAGTGTTTGTCCCCGTGTATTTTTTTTTTAGATTCTTTAGTTTGNGAAAAAAAAAAAAAAAGAGATGCATACAGTGTATGTAAGTATAGAATGCTCAAGCTCAAAGTGTATAGAGTGTGATGATCATATCTCACCTCTTTACATAGAAATCATGTTACCTTGTTGCCCAAAGATTTGCTCGATCTGACAGTCAAAGTGCCTAAACTGCCCGATCACACTAACCGCGTGTGTGCCCGAAATGCCCGATCACAAAAAGAAAAAAAAAAGTTTTTTAGTTGATAAATAGACTTTTTGCTTGAATAATACATGTATATAGATGTAGATTAACGGTGTTTTTCTCATTAACAATATATAATTTGCCTGAAAAATGTGATGAAAATCTTATTATTTGTTAAATTTTTAAAATCATTATTTTTAAATATTTAAAGATTGATCAAGTCATTAAGAGACTAAATAATTTAACACTATTTTCAAACTTTAGCTTTCCATGCAACATAATAATCGTTTTATATTATGTTGTAAATTATAATAAATTTATGACATATTTTATTTTACAAAAATATACTAAAAACACTAATATTAATACACAATGGAAACTTCAACATTTTGAGGAAATACGGAAGATTTTAAAATTATTTCGTATTTACCACATTCTATTATTTATGTTAACTTTTTATTAGAAAAAAAATATTATAAAAAAATAAAAAAGACGCAAATTTTTTTTATAGATGTATTTATAGAGAACATTCTCTTTAGGAAAACTATATAATAACAGCATTTGTGCATGGATGCTCATAGTCTCCATGTTAATTACCTTACATAAGTGTGGCGCTTTGCAAAACCATTTTGCTGCGTTTTCTCCTTTTTTTACCCGTTTTTGTTGTTTATTGGAACTAGTACCCGTGCGATGCACGGGATTTTATTATTTCCGT